TAAGTGCGTCCTGTAAATACTGCACCCGTTGTGTCACTGATTGCCTCAATCGGTCAGAGGAAGAAAGTTGTTTCTGAGACCCAGTCTTCTCCTTATTAACTTCTTGCCGAAACTGACTCCTTGGTATGCATCTTGAGAAGACATTTTGTTTGGCAACGGTGAGAGGTAGCAGAAATGCACAGGCAACCACGGCCGCACTTGACGGCGCAGATGTAGTACGTGAATTTCAGTTTCGATAGGGAAAGCCTAGCGGTGACAGTGCATGAAAGGTTGTCGCAGGTAGTAGTGTCGACCAGGTTTCCCCAAATCAAGAGTCAGGCAAGACAGTGCTGGTAGACAGAAATGTCCTGCCAGAAAATAGACTGTACAAAGGGTGTGTTGTGTGCCGACTGCCAGAAGCATGTGCTCGCCAGATTTGTCAGCAAAGTTGTGTGGGTGAGTGACGCTTTGGCTGTCGAATGAGTGCTCTGTCGGCTGCCATTAATCAGATTGGGCGGAAGTATCGACTAACATCGAGCGTACGCGCGTTTTAAGCAGCGAATCAATCAATGCCATTAGAAAAGCCGACGCAAGTTAATTAATCACGCGGGATGCAAGGTATGGCAGCCGAGGACGGGATGAATCACGCGCAGTTGGACTAGGCGGCAGACTCCTCTGGTGCTGCAGGGCTGCAGCACCAACCAAGGTCGCAGTAACAAAATAGACAGATGGATTCGACCAAGACAGATGTGCAAATGATACTGGACTTGAGGGCCCTCATTGTGAAAAGTGAAGCTGATCATTGTGGCAAGGTTTACCAGCTTGGCGTTTCGGACTGGTTCTGGAAACCCATCATCAGATAGCTAATCCGGGAGAGAGTGGAGAAGTACGGGGTCTGCAGTACATATAGAGCAGGTCCGCTATGTAGGGACATGTCGGTAGATTGGCAGGTCACCATGAAGCCGCAGATAGGGAGAGTTTTCGTAAATTATACACTTAGGAGTTCATACTATCATAGATGCAAACTGAAAGGGCATTAGTTGAAGAGGAGGTGACAGGGTTCCAAACAAATAACGTCTTAGTGTCCCCGCTTCTTGTGAATCTACCACTGATGGTGTTCAGTGTTTCAGGATGGCACGTGCCCTCCCCCACCTTGTTCAGATCGCAGAGTGGTTGTTAGGAAGACCGAGCACGCCACCCAGATAGAGAGACATCCGAGGTCACGCCGGACAACTCAACCTTGTAACAGCGGGAGGTGTTGGGATGATCGAGCACGTCAGACAGAC